TACAGAGAATCCTGCTGATATGCTGACAAAAGTGGTAACTGCGGTCAAGTTTCAACATTGTTTGGATTTGATCAACATTGTTGAACACTGAAGATTGAAGATGAAGACACAACTAAAATTTTGTTATTGAGAGAAAATTGAAGATGTGAAATTTTGCCAAGGTGGAGATTTGTTGAATGGCAGAAATCCCACATCGGTGAAGTACCAATTTTGGTTGGTACTTCACCCTATAAAAGGAGGCCTAATGTTTAGGATTTAAACACACCTCTCATTTGCCTTTTTATTTTCTTAAGGCATTTGTATCTTCTCTCTTTAGTATTATTTCACTTGTATTTTGGAGTGGAATAAAATATTGGTTGTGTCCGAGGAGTATGTTAAATTGACTGAACCTCGTAAATTCTGGTGTTTCTTTTATTATTGCTTTATTATCTTATTTATTATTTGGTGGCTGTCATAATTTTTGGTATAGTAATTGTGACTTATTCACACTATATACATTTGGCTTCCGCAACAAAAACAACCTTTTAGTCATGTCAAATTCCATTTGTTGTTCTTTTCCAGGTGGAATCTGCTGTTCTTTCATACATCAGAATTAGAGATGATCATCATATTGGTTTCTTGAAGAAATGAGTTACTCTAGAAATTCAATTCATGTTAATGATAAAACAATCAGTTTCAAGTTTTCATTGAGGTGCCAATTTCAAGTTTTCATTGAGGTATCCACTTGTGGGATTTTACTTGGTTGTTGGTCTTATAGGTGGCAAATGTGGATCAATTAATTAATTAGCCATACAAAGACGAAGAAAAATTGATCGTGAAGGATAGAAATTAAAGACCCTCAAGGTGAAGTGAGATACCACTTGTGGGATTTCACTGAGTTTGTTAAGGTGAAGTGAATAAATTAGTATAGAAAGCAGAACGACTCTCCAACTTGTTTGAATACTGGGAAGCGGTGGGCGTGGCTAGGATGCTTCGGCCTGCATCCATGCACCTCCCTCTTATTCCCGGTGCGTGCTGAGTGATTAATGAACCCGACATAGAAAACATCAAGAAAAAAAAAAAGATTGCTTAAAAAGAAAACCTTATTTATATCTTGAAAATATACCCTCTTAGATGGATTTCTTCTCCTTAATATATATATCCTAATAAGCAAACCTACTGCATGAAAAGCAGTACTAATTAACATTTTCTATAAGGTACTCTTTGCCAAAACAAGCTGGAAATGGTACGGAGAGTATATGATCCATATCCCCACAATGGCCAATGGAAAAGGAACATAAAATAACTCAAACTTATTCAGAAAAGAGAAGCAAAAGCACTGACCCCATCAAATTAACTGGGGAAAAACTATATTCTATAAGAAGAAAGAGAATATTATATCTGGAAAAATATTTGTTCTAAGCCTTCCCAGACCAAATTGGGCCATGGAAAACTTAGCATAAAGGAAGCATAGACCCCATTACAACATGAATAATTTATTGAAGATTGATACAGTGCAACAAAGAATACAACAACGACAAACCCAGCGAATTCTCACTAGTAAGGTTTGGGGAGAGTGAGATGTACAACTTTACACCTACCCTGAAAGGCAGAGAATCAACATTTTTCTTTCTTTTAAAAATACATATATATACTGAAAACCTTACAAACCCTAACCAAATATGAATGATGATCTTATTAATCACACAATAGCCTCTCACACAACCACACAAACTTAGATTGAGTACAAATACTAGCACACAAATACAAATATTGGAATTTTTAGTGGCAAATGAAAAAATTACAAATTCCTGGGTAGTCCCTTATTCAAACCCTAAACTTCAGCCATGCTTAAAATTAGATCAGAAATATCAAGACTTATCTCCAAATAAGTAGCCCAGTGATGAGTCTCCTCCTGGAACTGATTTCACCTTTGTCGATGGACGACCCTAAACATTTTTTGAGAACTATGAATAAGTGAAGGTAAAAAAAAAAAAAAAAAGATAGAAGTCACATGAACAAAGACTTCATGTTAAACCAAAAGCAACAACAAAACAAGGCCTCAATCTCAAGTAAGTTGAGATCGGTTATATAAATTCTTACCTACCAATCGCTCCATTTAAGCTGATCTCAAACCGATATAAAAAAAATAAAAATTACTAGTACTAGTTTCTTATATTTACTACTCGCATAAATAAAGAGCAACTATAACAACAACAACTACTATGCTTGAACTCCGAACAAGTTGAGGTCAGCTATATGAATTCTCACTGATCAGATCATACCATTTAAGCTCATCTAAGTCAATTTTGCGATGAATCAAGAGCAACTATATGAACACAAAATATTACTCACAGTGATGAAAATTCCTGAATTCTGGCCCTGACTTTTTTGATAAGTAATGGAAGTAGAGGGAGAATTTTCTGATGGATTTTCAGTTGAATCATCAATTCCATAGGGTGGTGCATAAACAGTGGGAGAAGGTGGAGGATCATCAATCTTTTGTTGTTTTTTATCATCACCACCAAAGAGATAACCTAAGGAACTTTGGCCTCCTCCATAGCTAACACCTCTACCTGAGTTTGGAGATTTCTCCATTAAGAATGTATGAATAGGATTATATTAAAGAAGAAAAGGGAATTATATTAGCTGTGTTAAATGACTTTGCTTAGAAATATTTAACACTTCTGTCCTTGAAAGTGTGTTTGCCCTTTTATATTGGTTAGTCCAAATGTAATTAGGTCATTCTCAAAAGCAATAAGTATATGAAAGTTAAAAACGAGCAATCAAAAGTTAAGGTTTTTTTTTTTTTTTTTTTTTTTTTTTTTTTTTTTTTTTTTTTTTTTTTTTTTTTAAAAANCATTTATATGTGCTTATTAATTCTTGTTCACAGAGAAAAACGTCGTCAGATAGGTTTTTTTTTTTTTTTTTTTTTTTTTTTTTTTTTTTTTTTTTTTTTTTTTTTTTAACGGGTGAATTTATTGTGTAAATTTTGTATAACGGAATGTACATAAGCAATTTTTGAAAAATTACGTGCATATTACAGTAGTTTTTGCATACATCTAAAGGTAGCCAGGATTACGCAACACAAATCTAGATTAGTCAAAGCGATGAGTTCCGAATACCATATAGTTAATTGATGTCATTGACATAGAAAGACAAGTCTATGTTATAATATAAGGACTAGGTCTTACGTTTATTTCTATTGACGCTTTGCTCCACACTATGAGAGTACGTAGTTTAATGGGTTATACCATGTTATTTAGATTAATAATTATCAGTAACTATTTTCTAAATCAAAAATTTGTGTAATTCTTCATTATCATTGTTATTATTGGAGACAAGACGTCTGGCAAAAGGGAAGAAAGGAATTAGGAAATGAAGAACTTAATTTCTTGCTTTCTTTTGACATTGTAAGCAGGGGCGGATTTAGGGGCGGATGGGTGTTCACTCGAATCCCCTTCGCCGAAAAATTATATATTTATGTAAGGCAAAATATAATTTTACCTCTATAAATTATGTTTTGAATCCCCTTGACACAGTCCAAAAGCATAACTTAGTAGTCAAGGGGGTTCAAAATCTTTGTAAGGTCATTTTAACTTTTTTTTAACCCCCTTGACGGTAATCCTGCCTCCGCCACTTAGTGTAAGTTTACTACATGTGATTAGGTCATTCTCAAAAGCATCAATAAGTAGATGAAAGTTAAAAAGAAGCAATCAAAAGTAAATTTTTTCTTTAAAAAGAGGTGAATTTATAGTGTAAATTTTGAATATTTACGTGCATATATTACAGTAGTTTTTGCATATCTGTAAATGTAGCGAGGAATTTTAGAACAGGCTTCTGATAAACTTTGATTTTCTGCTAGCCCAGCACTAACTCTTCGATATATTTCTTGCTGGAAGTACCCCTGATTCCATTGGTAACGAGTGGGCCCAAATAATTCAATCGGGGTTGTTGCCGATCTATACCACATAGTACCGGCAACAACAAAAGCTGCAAAAAAGACAGCAGCGATACTACTGGAAAGGACGGTTTAAATATTTCTCATACGCAATCCTTTGTATAGACGTTGTAGCGGACAGACGTTAAGATGGAATATGCCCGCTAATATGCCCAATGTTCCTGCTGCAATATGATGAGAGGCTATTCCTCCTGGAACAAAAGGATCAAAACCTTCCACGCCCCATGATGGATTTACAGGTTGTACTTTTTCCGTTAGTCCATAAGGGTCGGATACCCATATTCCGGGACCATACAAGCCTGTTACATGAAATGCACCAAAACCAAAGTAAGCACCCCTGAGAAAAATAAATGAATTCCAAAGAAGGTTTTCATGTACGTTCATCACAAAATATTTCTAGATCTCAATACACACAATGCTAGATAGCTGCCAAAAAGCATAAACCAGAAAACACAATATGTGCTCCAGCTACACCTTCGTAACTCCAAATACCCGGATTCATTACAGTCCCCCCTATGATACTCCAACCACCCCATGAATTGGTTATTCCTAAACGAGTCATGAAGGGTATAACAAACATACCCTGTCTCCACAGTGTATCAAGAACCGGATCAGAAGGATCAAAAACCGCTAATTCATACAGAGCCATCGAACCGGCCCAACCAGCAAGCAGAGCTGTATGCATATTTAGGCTTCAACGAAATATTCGAATGCTAGAAGGGCTATCAAGACTTCGCTCATGCAGCGCAAATCCAAATTAGTCAGAGCAGTGGTTCCGAATACCAAATGATTAATTGACGGCGTTGACATAGAAAGACAATATTCTATGTTATAAGTAAGGACTAGGTCTTACGTTTATTCTACTGATGATGCTTTGCTCCACATTATCAGAGTGGTTTAATTGGTTATACCATGCTATTAATTAGATTAACAATTTATCACTAACTATTTTCTAAATCAAAATTATGTGTAATTCTTCATTATTTAACTACACTATCAGTATTTTGAGTTGTTTTTCAGACTTTTATCGTTGTTTACGACTTCCGCAGTCATAAGAGATTATCATTGTCATTATTGTAGGTTTATTACGTGCAAAATCCTTCTTGATATAGTTTCACTTAATTACTAGCTTGACGTATTAAATTGTTTAGCTACTTTATAATCTCAAATTAAAAAATAATGAAGAATGGAATAAATTGTAGAACGGTATGAAACGGCAGTTTTATTGAAAACAAAATTAAGTAAAAAATATATATTCTTGATCTTTAACAACTTAAACTTTTAGATAAAATTATCACATATTTCAACAAATTTGACTTTGATTTAGCAAATATTTGTTAAGATTAATCATTTTTAACCGAAAATGCACATATTTTGTAAAGAACTGGCACTTACACATGTTTCATTCTCTCTAATTATTATTTGGTCAAAATTTCCAGTTAAGTGCACTTGATACAAATATCCTAGCAGTCTAGGAACTAGGTTGAGACTATACCTATTTAATTTACAGTCAACTACTATGTTCTTTACTTGACTAGAAACAGAAAACAATAACTATATAAAAGTATAAAATCTAGATTCTTGAATTAGCTAAGCCCAGGAGAATGAATAAAATAAAGTGCAGATGATTCAACTGTTGTCAATCAAATAAAGCTTTGCTTTAATGGCTAATGGCTTAACACGTTATTAGCTTTTGGAAGAGCTTAAAAATGTCACTAATAAATGGTGTTAAATCAAGAAAAGATATTACTTTAAAATTAGTAAAAAGGTGAGTAGTTATAGACTTGATTGCCAAAACATAGCAACCATGGACCCAAATGGTGAATCATATTATTATTGAAAGAAGAAAAAAGGTAATTTGGAATGAACTAATTATAGTTTTGTTTAGTAAGGGAGAGTTCGGTTGGAAGGGTACTTGTAGGGTAAAGCTATTGATTTGAGGTCTACATTCATTCACATAATATTCGAAAATGTTCAATTTTGCCATTGCATTTTTAGTCTATTGAGACCCTTGTTATTAGCAAATTATCTTCTATTTGTTAGGGCCGGGCATATATCAGGTAAAATTGATAATTCGAACCGTTAATTGTTTATTGGGTTATCGGTATCGGGTTATTGGGTTAATGGTTCGGTAATGATTTAGAATTTTATTACTATTGGGTTATCGGTTCGGGCCTCGGTTTGCCAATTTTGTTAATGGGTTAACTCCCAATAAGAATTAATAAAGTTACGACTTTACCCTTAAGTATATACATATGCTAGGGCTTCAGTTCATTCTCTTCTATTCTTTTTTAGCCGCACTTTTCAGTTGCTTCATCTTCATTCTTCATAGACCTTACTAGTTACTCCTAACGTAAGTCTTTAGTCTTACACATTAGGCTTTTAATTTCTATAACAAAATTCATCTTCATATTGGTATTTTTGACTGTTAATGATTCTTTATTTTTTTATTTTCGTTTCTTAATTTTATGAGCTCACGTTGTGCAGCCTATACCTACTATCAATTTCTCTTCGCACTTATCAATTCTCAATCGACAATCTTTATCAGTTTCGGGTATATTTTTTAACATTATTCTTCTATATAGTATGCTGAGCTTTGACAACACGACAACATTTTCTTGCCTTCTAGGTGTTTTTCATTTCTGTGTTAGTATTGCCCATGTACATATCAAGGTTTAGCTCTATGGTTTCTTTTTTCAGGTTAGGCATTTGACAAACAACATCCTGTTTCTATTGGACTGTTAGTACTACATGTTTGGACTTGTTAATTTTAAGGTGAAATTGCTACTACTTTGTATTATTATTAATGTATTTGGACAACTGTTGTTGAAGAATTAGTACCATTCCAGTTGTGATCACTGGACAGACGCAGAAATGGGTAGTATACTATATGTGAATTTTTCTCTCTTTTTTTTCTTAATTCTAGTGAATTGTCTTCTCTTTTTTGCTTAACTCTAGATTGAGTTATCTTATCGGGTAAACCGATAATCGATTAACCGATAACTGAAATCGATATCTTATCGGTTCGGTTATCGGTTTATCAAATTTGTAAACTGATAACTGATATGATAAACCGATAATATTCATAACCGAATCGAACCGACCGATGCGCACCCCTACTATTTGCCTTGTCATTAACAAAGCTCTATCATAAAATGGGTGAACATCACACGTCCAAATTCTTTAAGAGAAAAAGTCTAAATTTACTCCTTAACTTAATTCAAACTATGGTTCAAAATTACCCTCATATTGGAGCGCGCCTTGTTAGGAACAAAAATAAAACTTTTTCTAACGAGAGGGGGGAGGGGGTATTAGATCAACAATTTTTTTTAAAAAAACAGGGCAGCCTGGTGCACAAAATATTTTGCATTCATGTCAAGGTTCGAGGAAGCCTACCCTAATGTAAGCATTAATGGCTGCTTCCACGGCTCAAATCTGTGACCTATAAGTCACACAGAGATAACTTTGTCGTTGCTCCAAGGCTCCCCTTCAATATTTTAATAGAGGATAAAGTTGCTAATTCCATACAATATATGGGAAAATTTTACTTATACATAGTCAAACCATCTAATTATGTGATTTATCTAATTTTATCTTCAATGTGTGCTACATGCACCCTCTATTAGGTATGAGTATTCTTGATCTTGCTAGATATTAATATGAACCGCATCTGATTTAACATTCGTATTTCTACAACAATCATCATACATATGGATATATGTTGGGTCTTAG